CCCAGAGCCTTGAGCATACTAGGCAAGTGCTCTACCGCTGAGCCATGACCCCAGCTTCTTCATGTGCTCCTTTGTAAAATTACTCTGGACTCAGCTTCAATCTAAAAAATCACTTTAAAAGCATAGCCATGAATGAGGAGCACATACTGTTCCTGCTACTCTTTAGAATTACTTTAGGAGCTGTGTGCCGACGCCCGGGACAAGTCTACTCACAGCTTTCAATTTCAAGCGAGCACGTTTGTGTGTCCAGGGGAAATCGGCTGAAGTCCATGTTGCACATTGCAGTCACTGTAACCCTAGAAACAAAAGACAAACACCCAGTTTTCAGAGCYTGCAAAAGACAAGTGCAAAATGACAAAGCAAACAGAAAAGGTCTCTGCTTCCTTGCAGTATGATAACTGCCTCTTTCTTATAATTCATAAGCAAAGTGTTGGGATTTAGATAAGAAGCTTATGAATGACACCTCTGGAAAACTCTTAGGTATTTATGTCTAACCTTAAGAGCAGTGTGAGGCACATAGAATGTCTCTAACTGCTAGCACACTCAAGCATTTTAAAGAAGCAATGGTCTCAATCAAATAGCCATGTGAAATAAAAACTCATTCAATATGATCTCTTAAAACAAGCTTTAGGAGCATATATTATTTCTCATGTTTTAGATAMATTCAAGTTCTTCTGTTCTTTTATTGATTGTATTGATGTTCAACATTGTTTACAATGTTATGTATACTTAACTCCAGTTGCCAAATTTGGCATTTAAAAAAATATACTGATATTTTTATATTGATAATAGTGTTTATAATTCTATGGCAATCATAGTGACAGAAAAACACTGAGAGATTTGTTATACTAATATGAACACATTAGCTGGCATTGAATGGTTCTGTTCCAGAGTTTACACAGCAAAAGTGGCTTCTGCATCAAAGAACAAACAAATATAGGTCATTAGTCATAGATGAAAATCTCCTAGTCAGTGGGAAATTTCATGGCAGGATACAATACTGGTTGTTGGCTCATGCTGGATGTACCATTTTTCCTCCAACCATACAAAATCTGCTATGCATAAATTGTGGAAAYGATTTGGATAATATGTAGCTAAAAAGAAAGAAATACATATACATTTGAAATTTAAATAGAAATTTCAAGGAAGAGTATTCAAGAAATGCAATTATCCAGATATTTGCCTTATTTCCACCCCAGTCCTTTATATATGGAATGGCTGTGTTCTACAAGGTATTTGGGGTCATGAGCAGCTAGGTAGTCTCACGACCCCTGGAAATTCTAATAAACAGGGTATATTAGAATATTGATGGGAGCGAGGATTCAGGCAGCAGTTGCCGGGGACACCTAATGGGTGGGCTTCCATTTCTGTGGTTCCGTCATCAGCATAACTATGCCTAATGGCATCACTAGTGAAGAAGAAATAGGAAGTTTGGGAATACTTGGAGCTAACTTTAAGAACTTAAAATATCAGATGCAGGATTTTTTTTTTTTTTTTTTTTTTTTGGTTATGAACAAGAGGACTGAATATCTCCTGTCTTTTTACTAGCCAGTACAGAAGCAGATCTTTTTAGAATCACAAACATCATCAGACTGGCCCCTCCTGGCTTGATGCTTTTCCATTCAAAACCTTACATCACACAAGCATTTGTGGTGTAATCAAAACCCATGTTTATCTTTGTTTCTCCAAGTCYTTTTAATTAGTTCATGGAAAGGGATCTTCCCTTGCCCTGGATGGAATGGGTAGAAACTTAGCAGGTCCTATTTTGTTTGTTTGTTTGTTCTCTGCTCAGTTTCACCTGATAGTCAAAACTCTTTTGGGTCACAAATTATGTCTCAATTCAGAAATAAAGCATTTTAGTCTGAGATCTTATTAATCAATGCTTCAAACTTCATTCCAATTAAGATTTCTGCTCTTCAATGAAGATACAAGGCTGGCATTTGAGTGGTTGGTTTCTACCCATGTCTAGTGAGAGAAGAGCAAGAGGGCAGGATGGGTCTCAGGCTGAGTGGCTTCATGGCTCTAAGGACCTGCTATCTGGTGGAAGCCACTCTGATCATTTGGTTCCGTGCCTGTCCTGTGGCCATTAGCCTTCAATCACACTAAGGACAGTGGTTTTCTACCATTCTCAGTAATTTAATCCTTAATCTTTTTTTCCATTTAAATCAAGAAAACCCATGATTTTATTTGTAATGAGAAATCAAATACTCTGTTTTTAGGCACAGAGATGGAAAGAACGTGTTTCTGCTGGTAAGGCTGATTGAGGTTTCCTGAACTGTACACAGGAGGTTTTCCATTCTGTTTCCTTTGTTCTGCTTCCTGTGGTCACAACCAGCGGTGTGCTGGACTAGCCATCTATAAGCTCTTGAGAGCTGATTGTTAGATTTTCAGAAAGTTTGTGAGCCATTTGTTAAACACAGCTGTTAATAAAAATTAAAATTAAGTAAGTTACTGTTATGGTTTGAATATATGTGTACCTCTGAAATTCTCGTAATGGAATTTAAATACCAACATGATAGATTTAAGAGGTGAGGCTGTTGGCAGTGGGTCAAAAGGCTTTGCCCCATTGATATGATTAGTGCCCTTAAAGAAAGGAATTGAAAGGAGCTAGCCTTTTCTTGCCCATGTACCCTCCTACCATGTGAGTATACAGCAAAAAGTCACTGTATGAGGAACAGGCCATTACTAGGCACCAAATCTCCTGACCCTTGACTTTAGATTCCCAACTCTAGAACTATGAGAAAATAAATGTCTGTACTTTATAAATTACCTGAACTGAGGTATTTTGTCATGGTGGCACAAATAAACTAAGCCAGTTACACTAAAAACAAAAATAAAAAATATTCAAAACTCACTCCTACTTATGTTATTACATTTTACTATTATCTGTGCTCCTAAAGTTCTTTATGCCTGTGTATGTGTCTGTGTGGTGGAAATACTGCCAAGTGGTGTGCTGCCTGCTTGTGTCTCCAGCTCCCCATTCATCAACAACAGGTTGGAAACTTGAAATCAGCCATGATGGGAGTATTTGCAGAAATTGAGGCTTCATTTATTGTTTTGTTGYTTATTTAGACTGAAAAAGTAGATTAAACTAAAAGTGTTTTGTGTCCAWTGCTATTCATTTTTTAATAGTACAACATATTAAGGAAATATTCTTCCAACATTTAAAAACTATTATCTAGTTTAGCTAGGAGGTTGCTTATTTATTGATGAGTGAGTAAAGTTCCTGCTTAGTTCTTCATAGTTTCACTTTGTCTCACTAATGTAGCAAAAATATCACCAACATTCATCAAATCTACACTAATTTTACAGTTATATAAGGGATCAGGTATTTACAAACACTTATTCATTGCTGACTCTGTAGAATGATTATTGGTGGTTGAATTATAAAAAACTGATGAAAGTTTTAACAAGAAAAAAAATAAGAAATAATGCTCAAGTTATATGTACACGAAACTTACAAAAATAGTATAAAGTTTTATTTAATTTTATAAATCATGTGCTATACATACTTTCTAACAGTAATGTTCATAATAAAMTTACATAATGCATGTCTGCATACTATGTCTCCAGACAAGTAGTCATTAGCACACCAATGGTTGTATRTGATTTGGTCTAGTTTTCTGCAGCCCTGGTGTATTGTGAAATTGTATTTTTGGTGGATTTTGAACCTTAAGATACCTTCACAACCCTTCAAAAATGAATATTGCAAGGAGAACCTGAGCAATGTGGCTTGGGAAAGAGTTGTCTGTCCTTGATCCCTCAAGTACTTCCTATAAGAGATGGCATTTTAAGCTTTGGAGATGAAAATTCCATAACCCCACTCTCAGTTTGGAACCTAATTGCTTAGATTCCAAATCAAGATGAGTATTACAAATATTGCTTTTGAACATRGGGCAGAAATTTAGCGTTGACATTTCTGGCTCTAACCTGTTGTCACTTAATGGGGAGCTGGGGAGAAAAGTGCTCCACTCTGCAGAGTGTGCCGGGCATGCCTGTAATCCCCACTACTCAGGAGACTGAGGCAGGGGGATGGCAAGTTTGAGGCCAGCCTCAGTAATTTAATGAGAAACTGTCTCAAAATTTAAATAAATAAATAAATCAATAAAGGGCTGGGGATATAGCTCATGGTAGAATGCCCCTCTACCAACCTGTAAACCTGTGTGTGTGTGTGTGTGTGTGTGTGTGTGTGTTTCTTAGATAATAGAATGTGGATTCATCTTTACCATTAATCAACATGTGAACCAAAGCAAAGTTCGCAAACTTGAACTGTACCATCTGCAGAGTAAATTACAGAGAACTCAACCACAGCCAATAACCATGTCCCTCTCCATGTCCACCTCCTGGGGAGGTGAGCACCAGGACAGAAGCGGAGGCTGTGTCTGTGTTTAGGAAAACCTTCCACAGGTCAGTGCTCCATGAGCAATTAAAAACTTCTAAGGCATTTGAGCTCATGAGAAGAAAAAWTTTTATTCATTAATTTGTAAAAGTTGTAAAAGTGTTATATTCAAAATGTCATTGAATGTTACAAAGTAGCCCAGAAACCCATAGTTTCTCAAAACAGAAAATATGCTGTGGCCTGCAGGTGGAACAAAAGAATTTTATTTTTTTTAAACACGGTTCTAAAATTTACCCCCCAATGGGAATCAAACAGATCAGAGGAGGCAARACTTGGAGAACACATTATCTATTTYTCTGACTCCCACTTGAGGAGTAAGCATTTCATTAAAGTAAACTTTTTTKKTTTTTYYTTTTTTTGCAGTGCTGGGGATTGAACAAGGCCATGTGTGTGAGGCAAGCACTCYAYCAACTGAGCTATATTCCCAGCAGTCACCTCAAGTAAACTTTTGAAACTTAAAATATAACATTCAAGATGCAGCATAAGCCACARCTGACCAGCTTGAGAAATTTCCCCAAATGTATGTTCAAAATTCCATAAAATTTCTACTCATGTGTCAAGTTAGGTTTCCTTGATGTTGATAAGTTTGGCAGCTATGGAAAAGTTAGAAGTTATTCAGAGCCCAAAAGCAAAATTACTGATGCACAATCCACGCTTGTCCAGTGAGCTACCTGTCTTCCTACCTGAGGCTGTAGAGCACCTTGCCATCCGGCTGGACCCGAAGCATGACGTTGTCTGTGGTGGTATCGTGGATGAAGGAGCGCTTGGAGTGCACGAAAAACATATCCGGGACCCAGATCTTCTTCACCAGCCGGCCGTCAAATGTCATGCTGAGGTTATTGGTGCTCGGAAAAGACAGCCTCTCATCCTTCCAGTAGTGCCTCAGGTAGAGGGTCATTGTAAAGTCCTGTGGGCAAAGAGAGAAAATCCAGACACACACACACCTGCTGGAATGTCAGCAGGAGATTCTGTACCCCTGGGGAGCAGTCACCTTGCTGGGGAATGAAACTGAGCCAGGTGAGGTCTTGCTTTTGCTACAGCAGGAGGACACTTTCAGGGAGGGGGAGCCCAGCAAAAGACCTGTGGCAGACAGTGTCCCTGAGTCCCACCCTGTCTCCAGCATTTACATCTGTGCTGGGGAGGCTGCTTCACCAACTTGTGAATTAAACAGAAACACGGCCTGAGAGTTGATGCCTTTGGGCTTCCCTCAACCGGAGAGGAGGGTGATGGGTAAATGGTCCAGCTCTCTCACCCTTCGGATGGGACAACCCTGGGTCTTTTCTGATTCCAGAAGAACCACAGTGGGATTGAGTCCTCCAGGAATGACTGGTTTGAGAGCACAGTCCTTTTTGCACCCTTCTCCTTCCCTGTCTCACCTCTCCACTGTGTTCCTGTGTTTCCCAGGATCAGCTCCCCAATAAACTTATGCTAGAATGCTTGATTCCGATTGTTTTTTTTTTTTTTTTTTTGATACCAGGGATTGAACCCAGGGGCACTTAACTCCTCATCCCATTTTTTTTTTTTTTTTGTATTTTATTTGGAGACAGGGTCTCATTCAGTTGCTTAGGGCCTCACTAAGTTTCTGAGGCTGGCTTTGAACTCACGATCCTCCTGCCTCAGACTTCTGAGCTACTGGAATAAAGGTGTGCACCATCATGCCTGGCTCAGGTGTGCTTCCTGAGGGACCCAAACTAAGATAACATCCTAAAAAGTTCTGTAAGTTAAGTGCTGTAAAATGTTCTAATATTTTATCAGAACCCACCAATAAATAAGTTAATTAATTCAAATTAAATGAAATGGAAGGGCACTCTTTTGCTGCTTCTGCATTTCTGGAGCCAGGCGTAGAATCTGCAGGAGTAAGATGTGTTGGGCTACTTGGCAGCTGCAACCTTAGACCCTGCAGTTTATATTTGACAGCCTTTGCCCAGAGAGTGCATTCTGGCCTCAAGAGACTATGTAATAAAGGGAGAAAGGTCAAGTTTGTCATACCAATGGGGTAGCCTTGGGCAAATGTCACAATCTTCCTGATCTGTCAGTAAAGTCAGCTTGGGAATGCCCACTTCCCAGGAATGCCCACCTCCCAAGGAAGCTGTGAATTCAGGTCCCTGTGAATGTCCTTGCTCACATTCCTGGTCAGAGAAGCACTTACCATGTCGACCTCTGAGATACTGTCCAAGCTCTCCACCTGCACATCCACGCCAACAGGAATGGCTGGGCCTGGGGACAGGGCGTAACAAGAGCATTTATTCTTTTAACTTAAACTTTTACTATGCAATAGTTAAGCAAAAGAAACATTTTCTCTGGATCTTCAGAGWCAAGTCAGATTTGAAGGTCTGGTTATGCCAACCTGAAGTCAAACCTGAGATAAAAGGAAGAAATCATGGGCTGGTTCCCCATGATATTCCAGAAGGAAAAAAAAAAAGGTGGGGGGTTGGGTCTGAATCATTCAGGTGATTCTGAAATGATGAGGTTAACCTATAGAATTTTTCTTTGGTACATGCTCATCCAAAGCTAGGATGAAGACCCAGGTCAAAGGCTGGGTCAAACCTGAGAAGTCAGTGATTTACTCCTTAGCATGAGGCCACCCACTTTATTTTCTATATGCACTTCCTAATTTTGCATCATCATAGAAGCCGGTAGTTCTTGTCTGACCATGAGAAAGGCATAGCCTGGAAATAATTCCCAGAACTGAAGTAATTTTCAGATCATTTATTTGTCAGATCCACAGATCTGCATATGGGCTACATGGAGTAGCTTTTAGGGGAACACGATATACCAGGATGGCCTTTGAAACATTAGACTTGTTATCATTTCTGAACCATGAAAACTTAATATTGATCAAGAAAGCATAACAAAGGGGATAGGTGGGCTGGGGTTGTGGCTCAGCGCTTGTCTAACATCATGAGGCACTGAGTTTGATTCTTAGCACCACGTACAAATAAATAAAAAGTCTGTCAACAAAGAAGTGTGTCACATTAGATTGGGTAGAGAGAAGTGATGGGAGGGGAGGGGAGAGGGAGGGGGAAAGAAAGGAGAGCAGAATAAAATAGACATTATTATTGCTGTGTGTATATACGTGACTGCATAACCAATGTGATTCTGCAACCTGAACACTAGAAAAATGAGAAATTATATCCCATCTGATTCAAATGAATGATATGTCAAGATCATTGTAGTGTCATGTGTAACTAATTAAAACAAATAAAAAAAATTATTTAAAAATAAATAAATAAATAAATAAATTATACCATGACAGTAAGTATTAAAAAAAAAGCTCATCATCAACAACAACAACAAAAAAATTTTTTAAAGGGGTAGATTTCTACCTCTTTCCTCTCTGCAGGATGTGGGTCAAGCAGAGAGCCCACTAAAATCATCACAGAGTAAAAAGGTAGACTTGAGTCCAGGAAGGTTATAGAGATGATGGAAAAGGTAGATTGTGGAGTGAATAGAGATATCTTTCTAGAACCTGCAGAAGAAATAAAAGGAATAAAAATAATTTCTTTTTTTAAAAAAAAAAAAAAGCTTTTTTTTTTTCAGGAGAAAAGCCTATTTGTCAAAGAGGAAAACTCTATTTGTCACTARAAGGGCTGAAACCGGCAGCTGCAGGCTACTCTTCAAAGGGCTTTGGCATTCTTCTGCACTACATCATTAATTTTTAAGCTATTTTCATGTAATTAAACCAAGTAGACCACACTCTTCCCTCAGATATGTACTCAGAGTTCATCTGCCAGCTCCCAGATGAGGACAAATTTAGTCAAGGTTGTTGGAATAAATCTCCGAGCATTTTCAGGAGGCAGCTTTGGGCTGCAGCTGCCCCCACCTTAAACAGCCAGCTGTTGGCCCCACTGATCCTGAGCCATCCTTTTCAGGAGCAGTGGCCCAAGGACAGCTGGCTGGTCTAGCCTGGCTACCCACTAGCAGGCGTTCCTGAGAAGGTGTTCAGGAGAGCCCCGGGTGGGGAGGGTGGACGCTCAGAAGATGCTGTGAGCGTGGTGCTTTATGCCAACACAGCTGAGGCCAACTCAATCAGGACCTGAGCAAAGCCCCTAGGCTTGGTTTCCTGGATAGAAGGACCCTAGGAAATAAGACACCCCCCAAGAGGGCTCATTTCATACCTCCAAAGCCAGGTCTCATGCTGAAATCGTGGTCATTTATCCTCAGCAGCTGCTCCGACTTTGTCAGAGGTGATTTGGTGATGTCAGGGCTGCGTTTCAGAATTGGGCTGCTGAGGGGAAGAAATAGGTGGATCACAAATCCTAACCAAGGCAGGTAAAAACTATTCATATTCTGACCATATTGACAGGTTTCATGGGATGTGTTATTTCTTCTTCTAGTCACTGGATATCCCCTCTTCCATTCTCCAGCCTTTTGGGATAAATAAACTGACCCTGAAGGTCTAGGACAGTGGTTCTCCAAGGAGTCATGGTAAAGCTTGGATCCTGCCTCAAAGATGCTGATTTGGATTATCTGGGAATAAAACCTTCTCAAGGCTGGAAATATTGTTCTGTAGTAGAGCTGCGTTCAACCCCAGGCACCACATCACCACATGCACGCTCTCTCTCTCTCTCTCTCTCTCTCTCTCTCTCTCTCTCACACACACACACACACACACACA